CACACACCAATACCATTGAAAACTTGATCAGTCTGCGTTCGATGGAATTGTGTTCGACCTGACCAGGCAACGCATCGACGGGCTCTACACAAGGATTGAACATCTAAAATGCGGGTGATGATCTCTTGGGAGAGAACCGTTGGAATGGACTGCGCCCTTCTATGAGTAATGTCCCCATGCAGACCCTGAAAAATGGCAGAAAACAGGGCAGTCAGCCTGGCTTGCTGAATCCCTTGCTCCAAAATTACATGCATCATACGCAGACCAGGAATATCGGAGGCAGGGGATGGCTTAACGATATGAAAAGCCAAATTCTCAAAAGGTCTCAACATATGCATCCACGGCGTGCACAATTGGGCAAGCCATTCAAAGGGTCGATGCGAGAGGCGGATGAGCCGTCCTACCAAACAAACTGGCGCATGATCATGGTGAATGAACCATGTCGTGACATGCATGACCGGCCCTTCTTCCGGAATATCGATAACTGACATCTCTTGGAATTGAGCTCTCATTTCGAGATCAAATTCATGCCAGTCAGGGGCATTTGGAAAAATCGGTGCCGCCTGCATCGGAATGTTGGCTTCAAATGAAGAATCCTCCGCCACGTGTTGATCAGCAAAGTGACACTGTCTTGGAATCGGATAACGGCAAGATGTGACACAGTCATGCATCGCAGCAGGCGGAGAAGAACCATGATCGGGCATGGGACGGGCGTTCACGTCAGCATGGTGTGGCAACGCAGGGTACACCTGAGCAAATGATGGAAGCTGCGGATCAAACAAGTCTTCAACGAGAGATACAGCTCGGCAAGTCTCGGCCCCGTGAACCGTAGCCGGGGGTACCTGTACACGGACATAGCAACCCGATAAGACCGTTTGAGTTCCAGCATGCTGGGAAGGCCAAGGGTTGTGATTAAGTGCTACAAGACACGCTTGCCTAGCGCTCTCACAATAGTTGGCAACTCTGGCCAGCTGAAGCACACCTTGTCTCGTAAGAGTCTCAAGAACTCTCACAACTTTTCTGTCGACAGCTGTGGCCATATACATGTGCGCAACTGAACCCTGTTGATGAAACACCACATCAATTAGGACCAAACTGTCGGAGGAGCCTGGTTCAATGTCCTGCCGTGTCTGAACAATGACACTAAATTCAGTGGCATGCTCTCCAGTGGGTTTGGCCAATAAAGGGTGAAGGGCAACAATATCCGCAGGTGAGATCGAAGTGGCCTCTAGAACATCCTGCAAGAGGTTCAACCGCTGCCGCCATCGAACCCAGGCATATTTGGTTTGCCGGTTCAATCTGTACAGGGTGACACGTCGAAGTTCATCCGCATCAGCAGTGGCACCTGCGGTGGGGTCTGTGGCAAGAGGGTCAGGTGCGCCTGACTGTTGATTCATATCTACATCTTGCTCAGGGTGAGGCTCCAGGGCAGGATCGATGCTTGAAACAGCCTCTGGGGGAACACTTGGAGCTGGTTCAGGTTCCGGTCGGCGACTGAGATAAACAACGAACCCATGCCCATGCTGCATTTGATGAACCCGATTAAAATCAATGTACAGCTGATCCCTGGCATGAAAGATAAGACAGTCAAATTGATTGCAAAAAGGCTGGATACCTGCACTTGTGACAAGATCTTGTCCACTAATGACAGGCTCGAATGAGACAGCAACTGCATACATACGTAGATTTGGTTCTGTGATGGTGGGGGAAACTGTAACCAATCCTGAGAAACGGCCACTGTACATCCCTTGCGCCAAAATCAAGTCAAACAAGATATGGGCTTCGTGCCAATTGCGTGGAGGATTAGGACTTACCAAGTCAAGTGTGAGATCCTCTCCCGGAACAATAAGGTCAGTCCAGGTGGCAAGAATCTGCGCTCTCCACAGATGAGGCGGCCCTGTCATCATGATTTGGCGAGCCTGTAAGGACAGGGGAATGTTGGTATGATGCAAGTACCAAGTACGCACCACAAACCCTTGAACAATCCGAACAGGGTTGGTTAAAAATTCCAGTGGAAGATTAACCATCATCTGCTGAGCAAACGGCGGGAGCCGGATTGGCGATACAGCACGGCTAGGAGAAGTGCCACTGGCTGTTGAGCGAGGCTGCGATGCATCAGCTGAACCCTCGTCAGCAGGCACGTCCGAATCGGGACACATTACATGGTCCTCCAGAGCTAGGCTGGCAGTGCTAGGAGCATGAAAACATGTACCGGCGTTGGAATTCGACATGACTTTGGAAGTGGAGACCTGAGTAGCCAAATCCAAGGTTGACGGCACCTTAAGCAACGCATGATCCTCTGGGATCAACACGGCCTTACGAAAAGACAGCGGATCACAACAGAGTCCAAAGCAATTCAAAATGGAACTGGGATGGAGGTATGCAGGAACTGGGCATGCAAGGTCAGGATCAACATCACATAAGCTGTTGGACGTCTTCGTTCCAAAAAGCAGTGAGTTGTTCATTGGGTAAATGGGACCAGTTGAAAGCCCTTCGTCAGTCACTGGTACGGCATGCAAATTGCTGGAGCCATCGTCCTCATCTGGACCCGCACTCTTGAGACATGATGATACATGGTTCCAACCCTCGATCACGCATTCAAGGGAAGGTAAATTGGCATCAAAATCATGAGCATGAGGGGTCAAATGGTCACCAACAAGTGCAAAATGGGTGAATAGCTGATCAATGGGACAGCCAACATCCCTGTCAAAATCAAAACTGGGGAGGGTTCTATTGACACCTCGGGATTGGTGGTAACTAGACCACGGCTTTGCAATATGCGGCAGCACTTCGGCAGGCACACTAATTGAATGCATGTGGATGTGATCATCAGTTCCGATAAAAACATCAACCAAATGATGAAAACGAACGGAAAGGCAGCCCTCAGCCTTGTTCCGGTCATGGGCATTCACACCAGGCATCTGAAAAGTGGAAGTTCCACATTGTAACGCAAGTTCCGTAGCTCTATGCGCAGCAACCCATTCTGAGCAATAGTCGGACTCTTGAACAATGGAATGCGACCACTTGAGATGCTGATCTACTGTTTCAGGCAAAATGCCTATCTCCTGGGGCCTCTGGACCGCGCACTCAAAGGTCGCACAAATCCGGCCTAGTGAAAAGACGAGTCCCCATCTCCTGGCACGTTGCCTCCAGGCATGGGCATTGGCGGCTCTGTGCGCTGCCGCTTGTTGGCCTGTTGTTCTGCCAACATTAACTCGTCTGCGTTTGCACTCAATGTCTTGAGACTTTCTCCAAGGTGCTGAAGGCTGTCTGTGATCTTTTGAGCACTTGAATTGACTGCATCCTTCGACTCTTTCGATTCTTCCTCCTCGTCGCTCACGGTCATAATGTCCGGAGATCCCTCTCGTTCTGATTTCTGCAGCTGGGATTTTGATACTGCGAGGTTGGTACGAGCAGTGTCCAGTGCAAGTCGAGCAGCATTCACCCTTGCAGAGAGGGAATCCTCTTGTTGTTGAAACTGCTGAGAATATGCCTGCCACTTGGACACCTGCTCTACCAAAAATGTCCTCCAGGAAGAGTGAAGACTGAGGCGGGCCGCATTGGCATTTTGCAATTCCGTTCTGGCCTTCCCAAGTGCGTTCACCTGCTTGTGAAGGGATTTGATTGCAACCTCGCCCTCTTTGAGCCTTGCCTCCTTCATCTCTTTCTGAATGTCCGGATGCAGTCCCTCCGGATGCTTCTCCAGCAATGCGTACATGGACTTCAGCTTGCTTTCGGCAGCAGAGATTGCTGTAGAACCCGCAGCCTGACCGGAATCCAGATGCGCGCTGTTGTTCGGAAGCGGAGGAGGCGGCGCCATGAGCCAAGGAGCTTCCTGGTAAGTCGGCATGACCGCAGGAGGACCTGCCGGCACCCCCTGATCTGGGGGTGCATGGTTTGGCAAAGGGTGTTGGGTCCCTTTGGCCTTGCCTTTGCCCTTGCCCTTGCCTTTCTTTGCGCGGTTGGAACTTGATCTCTGTCTGGCTGCATGGTTGCGTGGGGATTTGACCCACTGCTCTTCCTCTGTTGCCTGAGTATCCTGATACCAACCTTTCCCTCTGTGCGGCGTACTTGAACGACGACCCCATTGATGGGAAGGAGTCGAATGAGACGAAACCTGCCTTGGCTGGTTCGAATGAGGCGTTCCTACTGTCCAGTGCTGACCACAAAGCGGACAATGAATAGCACGCTTCCCGTTCAAACTTCCGCATGTACAATGCCACGGATACGTTGTGTTCTGCGTAGCCATTGCGACTTGAATTGCTTTTCCAATGACTCTCAAGAGCTGTGGATCTTTGGAATGATGGGCTGAAAGCCTGCGAAATAGACCTTGAAGTTGAGCAAGGTCCAATCGCCTGATACCAGTCCTGTGCAAGAACCACCGAAAACGGGCCTGGGACCGAAGTCTCCGGGCTCGGCGCCTGGATGTCAACGAAAAAGCCGCCAACTTGACAGAGAATCAAAATTGCCAGTCGGAGCATGTAAGGCCCAAATACAGCCGAAACTGAAGAAAACAACTACAATCGCGCTATCGTAGTGTGGTGAAGGAGTCCTAAACGGGGAGCAATACCAGGAGAATCAACCAATAATGCAAGCCCAAAGGATACCAAAAGCACCCAGTGTTCGGCACACTGCAGAAGCCAGTAAAAAGATGAATTGAATTGTAAATTGAACCAAAGTATAGATCCCAAGCACCTGTAAATGGGCCGATTAAACGACAGCCAGATACCGTGCGGAGTATGTAGGGGTTTTTTGGATCACCCCGAACCAAAGGCAGCAAAAGGTCCTGAGACCGAAAACCAGCCGCCCGCGGTCGAGAATGGCAGGGACCGCTAAGGCTACGGAGCTGAAGGGGGATACCCACAGAGCCGAAACCTTCTGTGGTTTTCACCATGTAAAACCAATAAGACAGTATTCCGATGGGGGTACCCCAAAATGGATGGTTTATGATGGAAAATCCTATAAACATAGGAGTTCAAGCATCCCAATTGGGGTTCCAGGAGAATGGCTTCACCCACGATTTGAAGCGTGCGTAGAACCATGCGCGCTTCAATCTGGCTGCATCCTATCAAGGCATGGCACACAGTGCAGAGATGTCTTGAGAGATTGTGTATCTCTGGCAGAATTCAATCTACTTGCAGGCTTGTGGTTTCACTTTCTTTTTTCAAAGTCACAAGAATTATGGGGCATGAAGACTTCCCAACATTTTGGACCACTGCCTTTTTTTTTGAGGCGATGAAATCTGCTGATCTTCCGCTGGGTCAGGCGATTTCCTCTTGATGAACACAGCGGCGAATGGGCTTCAAGTCTTCAACCAAAATGACAATGGCTGGGACCAGGCCGCGTTTTGGGAAAATGGTCGTCCAAGTGGCAGATGAGACGGACTGAGTTTTTTTTTGGGTCATGGTTGATGAAAATTACAACTGTACCAGTATATTATGGCAACTAATACGTCAACTAATATGGCAAGCCATAAACTATAAACTGGTCACTGGATTCCCTATAACCCCAATTTATGGCAACTTCATAGGGAATCCAGTGATCAAGATGAGCGGCTTTTGGGAAGAAGATACCTCCGGCAGGGGCAGATCATGATGACGCCGGACAAGGCCTGGGACTTTGAAGCCCTGGGTTGGGATGGGAAACAGCTTCCAGAACTGGCGAAATCATGGCTGTATCATGCTGTTGCCATGGGCCTATCATGGGGGTATATTATAGTCGTGATATGTTTATGATGTTTTATGATGTTTATGTATAATTTCACTGCTATTTCATGCTTTTGCATACCAACCTTTGGATGGCTGGTCAGCCTTTGGTGTTACGAATTCTTTCTCCGTGACTCTGAACTGCGGTGTGTTGTGGAATATGGTTTAATCATGTCGTATGGGTATGCTTCAAAGTAAGACCATATATATATAATAATAATAATATATATATATAATATAATATAGACATATATAATTAAACCAGATTAGACCATATCGACACCACATGTCCTAACAGTAGCTACCAAAGTGTGGATGCTCCGTTCTTCCAGCGGTCCAGCAGCTGAGGTGTGGTTGTCGCCCTATGGGTGGTCGCAAGCCATGCTCTCCAAGCATGCCAAGGCGATGTTGATCGCGATCTGCCAATGTGTTGCCAGACCGACAGCCCCTTGTGATTCAATGGGGTCTGAATATGTCTGAAGGGGGAAACCAGGAATTTGAGAAATATAGGATGTGTATCTACCAATATGATATTTATCCCCAGAATCACTGACGTATGCGACATATCTCATATCAAAGATCAAAGGCACCAAAGACGTTGTGTAACCAGGCTGCACAATTTTCATCAGGGCCTCAATTTACAAGAGGATTTTAAACTTTTCTAGATGATTTCAGTTATATTTTCCCATCAAAACAACGTTTTCAGGGACTGACCCAATCCCGCCTTTCCCACTGGCGCAGGACTTTGACGTGCCACTGCATGTAAAGATCCATGGAGAGCAACGTCGCCTGGAAGTTGGTGCATACAGGTGCATGCCCCCTCCGGGGTGTCTTCCATGGCTGGAGAATCCTCATGAAAAATGGAGGTTTTGATGGGATAACATGGGAAAATACATCTAGAAATGGAGGTTTCGAGCTGTTTTTGGAGCATTCTCTTACGAAGGCCGGCTTTTGCAGCCAGGTTTAATTAACAGGGTAGTCATACAAACTGAAGATGTGAAGGGCCCCCCTAGACATGTTGATCTTCTAGAAGATTTGGATCATGGATTGTACTTGCGGGATGAGTTGATCCCCCAACATCTTTGCTAGCTGGGTATGTCTGAACATGTGCTATATCACAGTATATCCCCAAATTTGTCGGATTTTCTCATGTCCCCCCATTTCCCCCACATTTTGTGATGTATCATTTTTTAAATAGGGCTAAAAAACGCCGCTTTTGTGGTTGAGAAGCCAAGCCAGCCACAGCCACATCTCCAGGTCGGCCAAAGGTGTCGGTCTTCGATTGGTGCATTGGGAAGGGACAGATTTGGAGGTAAACATCACCGGAAGGTGGGACCCGGTGGCACCCGGTGGGACCCGGTGGCTCCATGGTGAAATCACCAAAACACGGAGCTTTTGATGGGAAAATCAGCTATAAATGGTGGATATTTTTCTGGAATTTACTATGGAAATTTACATGATTCATGGAGAATCACCATGAACATCAGCTATAAATGGAGGTTGTGACTTGACTAGTCACTGTAGAATTTCTATCGCATCCTATTATCCTATTGTTTCATTACGAGAGCGTATGGAATAGGCGACTTAATAGAAGAAACACTCAACAAGGGAGATTGTGACCAAACATAGTCAGTGAGGTCGGCAGCATTTTTGAAAGCTTCTGTATCCGTGTTAGGATTTTCCAAGCATCATTTTGTTCTCTGATGCAGTTGGTGCTAAAATTCCGGCTCAAGACCTGAACATCCTGAAGTAAAGGCAACCGGCAGAAAGACATCTCCTTAAAATGGCGGCAAGTGTGGCACTCTACCAGGACAAGTTCGTGGAGATCTATTCAGATCACATCAAGATCAAGTCCTACTACGCCCCTGTTTTTCGGTCCAAGCGAATCAATATCGGCAAAGAGTGTGGAGTTTCTTTCGCCACGGATGAGGAACTGGGCTTCACAAAGGTAGACAGAAAAGGCTGGGGAATGGCGCTGAACAATGTTTGGTGGGCTCTGGACATGAGGCGGGAATTCATTTTCGGAGGACCCAGGCACTCGGGCATCGTCATCACCGTGGGCAGAGACACCTTTCGAAAAGGTTTCAGCGTTGAGGATGGAGAAGCAGCCGTGAAAGTCCTCGAGTCTTTGTTGCCAAGAACAGGGCAGTGAACCATTCACACCTGGCGTGCTCCTTTTGAGCTTGGCAGGGCCCTTTGTCTGCCTAGTGGAAATGGATCTTCTGGTTGAGACGTTCCTTTAACTCCACCTTGAACACTAACTTTTTGTACAGTGTTTGGTCGCAAGGACGGCCGCGTTAAACAGCTTGCGTTCTGTACAGAGGTTTGAGTGAAGGTCTATATACCCTTGCACACTTGTATTGCATGGAAGACCTAGGCCAACGGACGTCACAGAACAAACAGGAAAGGCGGCGAGTTGCTATCATGGGGCGTTCTTGTGGGTCTAATGCCCGAGGGATTGTGGCTAGGAATCCAAACCAAAGGGAGATGGCCTCATGCCTTTTTTTTTCCCGGACCCTGCATCCCAGTAAGCAAGAGTGGCCATGGTGAGGTTTGGAATACCCTCCGGCAACCGAATGTGGCAATGAACCAGTTAAACATGAGCGTTTGATTTTACCGATTACTTCCCGTTTGTCAACAAAAACAGGGACATAGTTTTTCAGAATACTTTCCCAGTAAAGTATCATCAACAACACCATGCTCAGCTGATTTCATGGCTGGTGAAATCTCAAACTGGCTCAGACATTTCTTGTTTTCCATGTCTAGAAATGGAGCAAAATCAGTCAGTTATAGATGATGTTGCCATTAAACCTCTATTTATATATGGGATTTCCCAATTGCCATGTCTAGAACTGGGATTCCTTTCCCAGCCATGGCCATGCTTCGCAGGTGCCTTGGCGCCTTGCGTTTTGTGGTGGCTGAGATCTTGACGGCTCCATCCATGCAGGCTTTGAATTCTCCATTGGAGCCGGAGTTGCTGGGCTCGAAGGTCGGATTTTAATGGGATATCAATGGTTACTACTGGTTACCCTCTGGTGATTTAACGTAGCTATTGAAAATGACCATTAATAGTGGATTTTCCCATTAAAAATGGTGATTTTCAATAGCTATGTTAAATTACTAATGGTTACTAATGGTTGATTAATGACTCATTAAATGGTACTAATGGTTGCTATTGGTTATTGTGTATTGCTGTATTATGGCTTCATGGTTATTGTTAGGTTTTAATGGCTTGTGACTATGACTTATGATGGTTTATTCATGGCATGCTGGTTAATTCAGTGAATACCTAATCTTTATTGTTCAATTATCCGTGAGAATTTTGAGCATTTGCCCGCACCACACCTTTGCTCTTCCGCTTGCCTTATGTGCCCGTCACGGTTTTGCGGGCCCAATAAAGCATTGTTCTTGAACTTTAGATACCGTATATCATATATCTCTATCATCTGCAAAGTGTGCATGTGTATGGGTCAAACTTAGCTGCCAAAATGGATGACTCAAGACTAAGCATGACCAGCCTCTGGCACTGCTACCCCCAACGACGTGAGCCATACGCATTTATCACCAATACTTTGATGGTTAAATCAACCTTCTTGATATTCAAATCCCACTTTTTGATGGCTGAAACCATACTTTTGAGGGTTGAAGGGTTCAAGTCCTGATTTTGAATCGTGGTTGAACCTTCAGATCAAGAATCCTTCCAGTTGACACAGTTGACACAGTTGACACAGTTGACACCGTAAATTTTTGACTTCCAACATCCCCACCATGTCCAGCTGCAGCCCTCGCCCTAGGTTGGTGAAGCCTCAGCCCTGGCCCGTCACGCTGCTGCCGAACCTGCTGCGGCTCCAGCTGCCGGGCTACGCCTTGGTGACGCTGGAGCTTAGGGAACTCCGAGGCGGGGTGGAAAAACCATGGAATGATCTATATAGATATTTTTAGATATCTACAGATTAGATATCTATAAATATCTATAAATATCTATAAATATCTATGAATATCTATAGATATCTATAAATATCTATAAATATCTATGAATATCTATAGATATCTATAAATATCTATAAATATCTATAAATATCTATAGTATTTTTCATAGTCTGTTCTTGACATCTAGGAGTGGTTTACCAGAGGGTAACCAAAAAGATTGAGTGGGAAATTTGCTAATCTTTGTGGGGATTGCTGTACACATCTCGAAATATACGTTTGATGCGATTTAAGATGGATTGGCTGATTGATTGAGTCATTCGCGAAGTCTTGTTTATTCATTTGTGAATTATTCAACCATGCTATGATGTGATGAAATAATATGAAAAAAATACGGGGTGCACCTCCCAATTATGTTTTTTTTTTTTTTTTTCGAAAAAAAATGAGGGGTTGGTTGTATTTTTCCCCAAATTTGACGGGGGTTCAGCGGCAGTTCAGCGACAACGTTTCGTTTTTCAGTGTTGTTTGTTTGCATCTTCTGGGATGGGGGTTACACTGAACTTGTTTTATTCTTTTTTGCTACCAATTTGCCGCTGCTAGTCAAGAAAAGGGAGGTGCATTTCCTATATTTGATGTACTATAATGCAATGTACATTGTTACATGGTTTGATTTTGGGATTGATTTAAGGATTCAACTAGGACAGACTTTACTTGAGATTTCAAAGGACATCAGAAGTGCACTCATTCCAATCTCACTTTGGCCTTTTGTCAGGTCAAGTCTTCATCGCTTGACGGCATCAAAAACCTCGAAGTTTGAGGGCTGAAGCATCGAAACTTTTGAAGCGTTGAATTTGGAGCTTGAGCTTTCATTTGCGAAACTTTTGCTCTGACAAGCACCATGCCACCGCTAATCCATGCAGCGAACACCGTTGCTGCGACGTTGCTGGTGTTGGGGTGCCGAAGTACAGCTGTTACAAAAGCGCTCTGCCTCGAGGAGAGACCTACATGGAGTTGAAAGAGCTGTTACACTGTTATAAACATTTTAATACTGTTATAGTATGTTATAGTAACATAGCATGACATAGCATGACATAGCATGACATAGCATGACATAGCATGACATAGCATGACATAGCATGACATAGCATGACATAGCATGACATAGCATGACATAGCAACATATAGCAACCTCTTTATCTTTGAACTAACACCGCCAAGCGGCTTGGCCGCCTTTAAAAAGATCACCGTGCCACTAGGCGGCGGGTCGAGGCCGCGGTCGGGGCGCAGCGCCCGGTGCTTCACCAGGTGAGTTTCCAGGTTCTGTAAGTTTATAACTATAGTTAATGGGGTAAACCTATGGTTTATGGTAGATATAACTATAGTGGATGTTAACGGGGTTTATCAACCAACTTCAACTGGTTGGTGGTTTCAAACATGGCTTCAGTCTTCCTAAAGATTTGGCACAATGGCACCAACTGGAAACACCTCATCAGCCATGCTGCATGGGTAGCAACAGCCCAATGCTTGGCCAAGCTTAACGATGGAATTCCACAATGGCATCGGCATCTGGTTGCGCAACGCAGGTCGCACTGGGCCTCCCTCAGCCAGGCTGGGGACGATCAGATTCACCAAAATTAGATGGTGATTTATAATGGAACTTGCCATATGGAAAGTGCCATAGCCTACTTTTGTGCATCATCTCATTGGAGAATGTTAGGGTTGCTTTGCCAAAGGCCGAAAGCACCGGCCGCACCAGCTCCGAAGCCCGCAGCGAAGAAGGCGGGGGCCTGGGCCACTGGGCCTGTTGGTTTGGCAGCAAATTGTGTCAATCATGGAGATACTCACCAAGACTGGTGTATCTGTGGATATGTTTGTTCTTGGAAAATTATGAAGGTCACCTTCAGCCAATGCATATTGTGATCGTTGCACAAAGATTTCTGGTAGCAGCAGCAGCGGCAGCAGCAGCAAAGCAAGAATCACAAGGTTCTGAACTACGCCACTATTGCAACATACATCATGGGTCTGATGGGTACCCCACTTTTGACAGGTATCCCGGTATCCATTTATAACCATCATTTATAACCCAAGTTTCATGGTTGAATCCAATTTGTTGATGGATAAATCGCAGTTTTTCCTGCTTAAATCTCAAAAATTTGATACGCCCCCCAAATCCAGTAGTTTGCCAACTAACTTGGATGATTTGGGGCTTCGATGGCTTAAGAAACCCATATCCGATTTTTATATATTTTTATATCTTCTATATTTTTATCGATACATACATATATATATATATATACACATTATAGTATTCAATGTATATATGCATAAGATTATATCCCAATCATATCCCCTATCATATCCCATAAGGTTTCCGCCCTTTCCAGGCTGCGGCAAAGCCTAAGCCGACGCCCAAGGCGCCGGCCCCCAAGGCCGCGCCCAAGGCGCCGGCAGCACCGGCGCCCAAGGCGGCTCCGCAGGCGGCTCCGCAGCCGGCAGCGCCGGCGGCAGCGGCGCCGAGGTGGTGGGGATCCGACGATGTTTATTTTTATGAGATTGAAGCAACCAATATCCCATTTCCTTAGCCTTGTATATGTATATATATATAATTATTATCATTGTCTGTTAAAAAAAATGGCATTTTGAAGTTAGGCGATCCATTGAAATGGATGGGATCTGAATCCGAATCTGGATTCCTCCAGTTGTACCTCTGCAGTTTGTTACAGGCCAAAGAGTAGAACTGCATCGGCGAACAATTCGGCCTGGAGCTCAAACTCCAGGGGTGAATAAACCGCGGCTGCGCTTCGACGGTGCTCTCAAGACCTGGCATACTTGGCGACCCCCAAATCCTGCATGGTTGGCTCGGAAAATAGATGACCTAAGATGACCTAAGTGGTACTGGGGTTCCAAGCAGAACAATGATACATCAGTATGGGTCATGATGAAGAAGTATTTGATTTTGGGTGCCCAACATGACCGAAATACCCTGGGTTATGGGCCCCGGTGATATCAAGATACAGCGCCCCGCATCCCAGGCGAGGAGTGCTGCGAGGTGTCGGGGTTGATGGCAGTTGGTGGCTCACTGGTTGTTGATGGTTTGATCCATCAGTTTCTATATGGCAGTGTGTCAAAACCTTTTCCTTTTCCCGCCCGCTGAAGATTCGGATTCTGGTGAGACAAAATCCGGCAGCCGGCGAGATCAGGTCGTACCCCCACAGAAATCAGAATACTGCGCCATCGCAGCATGGACTGAATGTACAGCAGTAGTTCCTCGCTTGACGAAACTGCTGTGAACCCAATGGATTGTGCTCGGAGAGGCAGGCATAAGAAGGCACCTTTGCCAACTACGGAAAACTGAGCCAAAAGGCTTACTCGATTTGATTGTACACTCTGTTCCAATAGCTTTTGCAAAACACTTGATCATGGCGCAAAACCATCCAGCAGACCGAATGAAGTTATAGGTGTCGTTCGTACGTCGACCCTCCAATGGCTCAAATTGCTTGGACTTACGGTTATACATGAAACCAAGGTGGTTTGTGCTAAGTTGGAAGTGGGCGTACAGCTGGTAGCTTGACAACCACATTGGAATTGCTGCTGGGTCCTGTGTGAGTTGGACCAACCACCTGTGCATGATTTGAAACCCTTCTCCCAGCGAATGGTCTGATGGTTCAACTATCTCCAGTGGTAACTGAGCAAAACTTATACAGTCAACTGCTGTGGGTGTCTGCTGTTCCATGCGTTCCCATGCATCCTCTTCTTTTGCTTTAAGAGTGGTTTTTTCCGCAACGACTTTGGATCCTATTGCAACAAGGAGCTTGTGCATGGCCCTGCAGGCCACATACCTTTGTTCGCTCTCAACTTGCAGTCGTCTGTATGCATGTATCACTGCTGCTGGCAGCAATATTCGTGCCCAGGCAGCTGCTGCATCTGCTGCTTCATTCCCCTCAATGGCCCAACGGTCAACCAGTGAAGAGTATTCCATGTGTGCCTGGTGAGAAGTGACCTTCAAAATTCTTTGAAATAGACCCATTGCCTTGGCTCTAAGCACCAAGGTATGCAATGTCTGCCACAAGTCGTGATCTTTCTGACGCGATGTAACAGAAAAATTCTCCTGTGAGAGCATGTTCTGTACCCTGTCGAAAACATCTTGGCAGTCGGTCCAAACATAAAAAGGTTTATGGTGGTACACTCCAAAGCGGCACGCTGCAATGACGGCAGTGATTTCTGCTCTCAATACAGTCTGCAAGATTCCTGGCACTCCTCCTGCTGCTACAGGGGGGAAGCCAGAGACTGGGAGCAACGCAAGGCATAATGACCATGTGACATGACGCAAATGTTTCTTAGTGGGATCAGTTCCACTTCCATCGGTAAACAAATGCAAAACTTCAGGCATGTCGGCAACATGTTCAAAAGTGGCAGTAGAATCACCAATTGTCATGAGTGCTTTACGGAAGTCATGATCGGCAGCACTTTCTAGAAACCATCCGTGCAACCTGGTGCAGTCTGGCTGGGACATGATGTACTCCCGCACACTGGGGTCCATCTGGTTTCTTTCCTCTTGAAAGTGACCACACTGCCATGTGCGGTGCATCACACTGTCTTCGCAATCACACCAAGGGCATTGTTTGCTTGTGAACCTGCCACTAGAAAACTGCTTATCTCTGGTGTAAAAAGAACCGTTCATGGCCACCCGCAAGAGTCCTTGTTCCTCCTGAGAGAAGAGGTGACTAGTATGGTTACTGCACTTTGTATCCACATTTGCAATTCCATGGAATTCGGCCCGTGAGGCCATGTTGTGGCCAATAGTAGCAGCCCATGCATGCGCAAGTCTTGTTTGCAACAGTTGGACTGGGGCATCCAACAAGTGCATTCTGAAACCCTCATGGTCGATGACAAACCCATTCCCATCCCATTGCCAGTTGATCTGGTGCAACCGAGTGAGTAAGACTCCACAAGGCCCTGGCAAGTACCTGGGTGGTGGCTGGCATGTCAAGAGGTCTAAAACCTCATACGCAAGTTGGGGTTGGCAGTACTGCCGGAAATGGGTCACCGTTTGCAAAATTGCGAGAAAGTGGGGGTCATATCTGGGGTCAGTGATGAGCCCAAATTGTATACATGACGAGGATCCATGCTTTTCCCATCTCAGTGCACTCATGGCTGATGCCCTTAGCGTGGTGAAATGGTCAATGCCTATGTCGACAGAACTTACTCCATGCAAACATCTAGGCCATGCAACTGTGGAGAGGATCCTCAGTTTCCTGTGAGCGCTGGCCTGGCTCCGGCTGAGCCATCCCCAGATGGGCTTGGATTGGGTAATTCTGGCCCGTACTGAGTAGTTGGTGCGCTTCTTGCTGTAGTTCAAGTGACCCCCCAAATCTTTGGCATGTAACAAAACGGTGTGTCCCTGGGCTTTAAGGGCTTTTCGGCAGGCAGTAGTGGTACCCCAGCTGTAGGTTTTGGCACGGTCAAGTTTGATGTCAAGTTGGGATGCAAATTGGTCCATGACCTCAAAGGCAGCACATGTGGCTTCAGGCTGTGTCGACTGAGCCTCCCAGTTATCAACGTAGCTAACTACTGCAACCGGGCTTATGGATCGGGTAACAATTGTATGCATGGCACAATTGATCAACACCATGGATACCACGGACAATGGATCACCTTCAGGGAATCCTGTGTGGCTCAAAATGGCTGGCGAACAACTTCCTTGTACAATGAAACGCCTCTCAACCTGTGCGAGAGTGCGCATCCAATTCTTCATGAAAAACTCAGGAAGTCCCATGTGCCTGCCCAGGAAGTAAACCACATGTCGTGGCAACGTGTTGAAACATTTGCAAACATCAGTCACAATACCCGTCCGCTCTTCATGGAAGTATTGGGCATGTTCGATTTGTTCCGCAAGGGCTCTCCACACCTGGACGGTGGATTGGTTGGGCATGTTACCCATCAAACCCGGTGGTGCTACTCTGTGGAGCCATTTCAGGATCTGTCGTGTTCTGATGGAACTGTAAGTTCTGTACACCATGCTCAGCACTGTGATTGGTCTATATTCAGATGGTGAGGCAGCAGCGCTGTGTTTCTCGATAGCTGCAATAAGCCCTACCATGGTGGCCTTGGGCCAATCATATCTTCCCTGCTCGATCAGGTTGACATGGTCGACCAATTGTTGGGTAAGTGCTAATGGCATGTTGAGGAGGTCTTCTTTGGCAATGCCATCAGGGCCAACTGCACTGGTAGACTTCTTTCTACGTACAGCTGCGTACCATTGTGCTGTTGTCAATGGTTGCATGTGCATGGGCTGTTCGGCAGAAGGCATCTTGTCCTGGATCTGCTGGATAAGTGGAATCCATTGGTTGATCTCAGTGTTTTTGTGTTTCTGCCACATGGGTTGCCAAAGGTCTTCAAAGGCTTGGAAAACATCCCTTAGGTCTCCGGCAATTTTTGGCTGGAGAAGGTGATCTCCTGGCTCAAGGGCTTGGGGCTGTGTCAACTTCAAGGTGCCAGGTGTATGGTCTTGGATTGCAATTGGTCCATGCTGTGAGTTAACCGGTTCATCAACTGCCAGCAAGTGGGGCTGGTATTGGATGGTAAGGCCATCTGCGCTAACCTCAGTTATGTTTGCATTAGCATTCACAACTACCGTGGAAACAGGCAGTGACCTAGGTTTTTTCACATCACGGAAAATTGCATTCGAGTCAGTCATTCTGGTCTCTCTGGCTTTTTGGCATCGAGCACGGATGAGCAGTTTTTCAAGTCCATCGAACTCTGCCTTGAAGGCGGTGAAAATGGCTTCAACTTCATCTGCAGTGGGCAGGTGCTTAGGAAGGTGGTGCGGTGCACTGGGTAAATTGCTTGACCGCTGTTGCCATGCTTTAGCAAATCCACCTGGGAACCCTGCCGCAGCTCGGATGGATTTCCAGAGTTCCATCTTGTCATTCTGAAGGTCTTTGTAAGGCTTCCTGGACTTCATCATACAGTTCAAACTCTGGAGCCTTCTCAACTGGCGGCACCACTTTGTGTGGACAAAGTGCTCGCCCATGAACATGATTTGTACATCACCTTTGCGCGATGGTTTATTTGGAGTGATGGCATGCTTGCAATTGGTAGGTGCAACGGTTTGGCATCTTCCTCTTTGCTGGGAAAGTAGCCCGTCATGACCATTCCATCTCATGTGCATGTCAACTGCATCTTCAAGACATGCAAAGATTTCCGTCATACTTGCAAGGCCATCTACAGGCTGGTGTTGCTCGTTGTGAAATCTGGCAAGGTCGATTTCTTCCCATGGCAAACGCCCTGGCTTTCTCCAAATTGGGACTGTCGGGCTCTTGTCAAATGCTTGAAACTCAGCAACTACTACAGCATGGTCAGCAAAGTAGGAAGCGTCAACATCAACCGCAAGGAGACGAGGGATGAGTTCAGGGGAAATCCACATGTGATCCTTCCGGGTCTTGCCATGGCATGTGGGGCGTATGCATTGCCCCCATTTTTGAGCTGCAATGTCCTGGATCTCCATAAAGCCATGATTTCTCCAGATGGTGAATTGTTCGAGTGAATCATGGTCTTCTTGATTGAAGTCTCCACAAATGAT